AAGCCACATGGAATGGAGCTAAAGATTGGGAAGACACAGAAGAGGCAGAGAACCCTAAGACGAAGAAGAAACATGGAGTGTAAGCTAGGGGACATGGAGCCGAGGTGGCGCAGTGGTTAGGGTGCAGTACTGCAGGCCACATCAGCTGACTGTTATCTGCAGTTCAGCGGTTCTAATCTCACCGGCTCAAGGTTGACTCAGCCTTCCATCCTTCCGAGGTGGGTGAAATGAGGACCCAGATTGTTGGGGGCGATATGCTGACTCTGTAAACCGCTTAGAGAGGCCTGAAAGCCCTATGAAGCAGTATATAAGTCTGCTAACTGCTAATCTGAACTGGAGGGCAGATGAAATACATGGTTTTTCTATAGAACGGTTTAATGGTAGGGTTCTGTTGTGGCCCAGCAGGTACCATTGGAGCTGCCACCAGACTCCGACAGCGAGGGGCCCTCTGAGTCAGCTCTGGAGGAGGTGAAGGACGCTTGTCAGGGTTCCGATTCCGAGCAGGGCGCAGAGAGGCTGGTTGGCCATCAGGTGGCTGGGGAATTCTGGGAGTTGAAGTCCACAGGACTTAAAGTCGCTAAGGTTGAGAAACACTGATTTAGATGAACTTTGAAATCCAAAAACTGAGAATAGCGCAAATAGTCGTCAACTTACATCCCTGTTTAGTGACCATTCAAATTTACAACTGCATTAAAAATGTGACTTACGGCCTTTTTTCAGAGTTATGACCTTTGCAGCGTCTCCATGATCGTGTGATCAAAATTCATATCCGTGGCAACTGGTTCATATTTATGACCGTTGCTGTGTCCCAAAGTCACGTGATCCCCTTTAATGACCTTCTGCCAAAGCAAAGTCAATGGGGAAAACCAGATTCACTTAAGAACCGAGTTACTAACTTGTTAATTGCAGTGATTCACTTAACAACCGGGGCAAGAAAAGTCCCAAAATGGGGCAAAACTCACTTAACAAATGTCTCACTTAACAACATAAATTTGGGGTTCAATTGTGTTCGCAAGTCGAGGATTGCCTGTATTGAAGAAAGTTGAAACGCAGCACCAAACTAATTTCAGCAACTATTGTATGATGAATCGTAAACTACTCTTATCTATATTATAATGTTCAAATATGCTTAGTTTTAATTTTTTTTGTGTTGCCCTACTTAATGGAGAATTTGGCCTCCTTCCTTTTGGATGGATTAACTGTTTACATCTGTTCTGTTTTCACAAGAGAGGGAATTATTTCTTGCCAACTATATGGATTCACTCACAATTCTACATTATCATACTCTATTAATTTGTAAATATGAAGAGGCCGTTGTCTGTATACAATCAAGAAAGGGGGCAATGAAGGGGCCATTGGTTATGATACATGAAGGAGGCATTTGAATGAAAAAAGTGGGCAGGAAAAGGCAGTTTGGAGGTTGTACTGGTCAGTGCTTGATTTAGGAGCACAACGGAGTCGAAAATTTCCATTGCTAACCAAGTTAAGTGCGAGGTGGCGCAGTGGATAGGGTGCAGTACTGCAGGCCACTTCAGCTGACTGCTATCTGCAGTTCAGCGGTTCTCAACCTTAGCGACTTTAAGTCCTGTGGACTTCAACT